GAGGGACCCCCGTGCCAGGTCTCGGAGCAGCCCTGTGACTCCTGGCCCCGTCACCGTCAGGCCCCGGCCTGGGCACGGCAGCGGCGTCACTCGGGGGTGCCTGCGCTTGTCTCTGTCCTTCCCACCTTTAACTCCTTTTTTCTTGGTGGAAACTGTGTTTCCCATCCGTGGTTAGGCGTTTCGGAGAGCTGAGAGGTATTCCTTGGCGATCCAAGTTAGATTTTATTGTTAAATAAGATAAATTCTGGTTACAAAGAGCCCCAACTTTGCAAATTTTTCCTACTTCAGACATACCTATATCTGTCTATATCTGTCTGTATCTAGCTATATCTGTATATCTATATCTACCTATATCTATGTCTATCTATATATCTATATCTATCTATATCTACATACCTCTATCTGTCTATATCTATCTGTATCTATATACCTATATCTATCTATATCTATATATCTGTATCTATCTACAGCTGTCTATCTGTATCTATCTATATCCATATTTATCTATATCTCGCTATATCTATATTTATCTATCTTACTTCTTGTTCAACCCCCTGACAGTGTTGCAAGAAGCAGACTTGTGTAGTTCACTCCAATGACGATAAATCTTGGAGGGGAAAACGAGCTGGGAAGTCCAAGAGGGGAAGTTGAGGCAGTGCCCAGTTTTGCTCTGGGTTTCACAGTTGGTCTGGGGCAAAGCTAAGACTAAAGGTTCTTTCTGCTGGGCTCTTTTGGGGTCTCCCAGAGAGGCTGCAGGCTCGGGTGGGTTGGGGCAGTGCCAGGCATGGGTACAGACTGGGAGAAGAACTCGTTGGGAGTGTCCCTGTGGAGGAGGATTGGGGGGTTCTCCTGGATGAAAAGCTGGATATGCACTGGCAACCAGAAACCAACTCTGTCCAGGGCTGATCCCACAGTGAGGGCAGCAGGGCAGGGGGGATTCTGCCCCTCTGCCCCCTTGGGTGAGACCCCCCTGCAGAGCTGCTCCAGCCCTGGGGAACAGCACAGGGAGGACATGGAGCTGCTGGAGAGAGTCCAGAGGAGGCACCAGGATGATCAGAGGGATGGAGCAGCTCTTGCTCTGAAGTAGGCTGGGAGAGCTGGGGGGTTCAGCTGGAGAAAGAAGGCTATCTGGTTGTGACTTTAGCGCCCCTTCAGTGCCTAAAGCGGGCTGTACAAGGAGGAGAGAGGCTTTTTTATCATGGGCGAGAAGGGACAGCGGCAGGGCGGCCAGTTGGTTCTAAACTGCAGAGGACAGGGTTTAGATGGAGGTACTGCGAAGAATTGTTTCTGGAGGGTGTGAGGCCCGGCACCAGGATTGACCAGAGAAGCTGTGGCTGCACCCATCCTGAGTGTCCAGGCCAGGTTGGACGGGGCTTGGGGCAGCCTGGGCTAGTGGAAGGTGTCCCTTGCCCATGGCAGGGGTGGAATGAGATGAGCTTTAAGGTTCTTTCCAACCAAAACCATTCTGGGACTCATTGTATGAGTAAGGGCAGAGCTGACCATTGCCCAGTGCATCCAGTGCCCCAGAGAAGCTCTCATTGCTCAGAGGGGGCAGCTCCTGGCCGTGGTTTGGTGGGGTGACCCTTGTACCCCTGAGATCACTGAGGGAGGCTTGGCTGGTGCCTCCTACACAGGGGGCTGCTGCAGTAGCAAACTCTGTGGTGATAGCTGTGCACTGGGGAGCTGCAGAGCTGTGGGCAACGAGCTCTGAGTGCTTTCTCTTCTGTCTTTCCCTTGTTTTATTCTCTGGAGCAGGGAAGAACCGGAGGCTGAAGCAGGCCAAGGAGGAGGCCCAGGCAGAGATCGAGCAGTACCGCCTGCAGCGGGAGAAGGAGTTCAAGGCCAAGGAGGCAGCGGTTGGTTTTCCACCTCATTCCCTTCCCTGCAGCCCCTCAGCCTCGTGTTTGTGGTTCCCTGCCCTGAAACAGCCCTGGGGGTGGAGTGTGGTGCAGGAGCAGCACTTCCCTAAAGTGCCTTCCTGTGATGCACAGCCACGTGGCACGGAAAGAACAGGGGGAATGACTCAGAACAGGGTGTTCTGCATCTCAACAGCAGAACTACTGACAGGCAGGGAATTAGATTAATGCACTGGAATTAGATTAATGCACTCATGGGTTGGCTGGTGCCCTGATGGGTGGCAGCCCCCCAAACCTCCTGTGTGTAGCAGGGGCCCATTCCTCCCGTGACAGGCTGGTTTTTGTGGTGCTGGTGTGGTAGGAGCCACTTGCCTCGTAGCTGCTGCTCTTGCTGAAGCAGCTGTAAGGCTTGTGTTCTGCTTAGCAGTGTTTCCTTCTGTATCCCATGGCTCTATCCTTCCCTTCTGAGCAAGAAGTATTCCCAAAAGGCACAGAACTGAGGCCCTCCACCAGCTGAGGCTGCACAGTGCCTGGGTGCCCCTGACAGTTCCAGAATCTTCAGAAAAATGCCCTGGCATCCTCCCCTCTGTCCATCCTCTGGATAGCACATTTCCACCTCCTCTGCTGCTGCATAATCACCTCAGTGGGTCAGGAATAATTTTAACCATTGCTTGTTAGCTTGGCTCACTGGGCATGTGATCCCAGGCAGTTCCCACAGACTTCACTGCCTCTCAGCTGGTTTGGTTTTACTCATCCTTTTCCAGAGGGAAGAATTTGACTCCCAGGGTGTCAGTCTCTTCTTCTGGGCCATTTTCTCTTTTCTTAATGGGAATTTTCTCTCTCTGTCCTTGCTGATGGGGCGAGAAGGACATTGTAAGCTGGGAGAGACCTCCCTCCCTGGGATGGTGTGAATTGTGCTAAAAGTAACTTAATGGTGTTACTTTTCTTGCCCTCTCTAGTGCCCAGGAGTTCCAATTATCTGTCCAGCAGGGCCTTTATTTTGGGCACTCTTTAAATGCTCATGCTCTTAACTGCTAATGAATAAATGCTCCCCTGAGTTGGAACAAGATGATCTTTAGGGTCTCTTCCAACCCAAACCATTCAGTGATTCTATAAAAGAGAATAAAAGGCAGGGGCTGAGGCTGAAATACAAACTTGGACAAGTTTAGGGCGAAATCTGAGCAAAAAATCCAACAGTTCTTTTGGTGTTTTAACATAAACATGCACATTAATTTTCCCTCACCAAAGACTAATGGCTGAGATGCCCCGAGACAGTCCAGAAAAACCAAATACAGAGTTTGGTGTGGTGATTTCTTGGTCACACTGCTCACACAGGAGCTTCCTCTTTCCTTTGCTGCCTGCAGGCACTTGGATCTCATGGCAGCTGCACCACTGAAGTTGAGAAGGAGACCCAGGAGAAGATGAGTGTGATCCAGCAGAACTTCCAGAAGAACCGTGAGGTGGTTCTGTCCCAGCTGCTGTCCCTGGTGTGTGACATCAAACCCGAGATCCACGTGAACTATCGCATCAATGGGTAGTGGGGGAAGGAGGAAAACTGTGCTGGGAGTCGTGTCTGAGCTTCAGGTGGAATGTACAGCCCTTGGCCATCCCTTCCCTGTCCTTATCCATGTGTTAAATTATTGCAGTGAGCTGTTGGAGTTCTCTTAGTTTCTGTTTTGACCCGGGTTCAGAGCTTTTTCAGACATGAAATGGCCACATCTCACATCTGGGCTAAGTTATTAAACAAATATAATCCAGTTGGCACATCAGTGCTGCCTGAAGGAGAAAGGAGAGGGAGATTCTGGCCAGATTGAAATGGAGAGCCCGTGTCAGTAATTGTTAAACGTGTGTAACTGTATTTTCATTGACCAAACTGCATTTTTCAGTGTGTTGTTAAACCTTTGCACAGGGCTGAAACCCTGGGGAAAGAGCTCTCTGGCTGTACAGTGCTGGCAGATCATTTTGAGGTGCTTGTGTTGAACATCCTCTGTATATTCTGCTGTTGCTTGAGGTACAAGTCTGGCACTGTGACACCTGCAAGTAAAAACACTTCACTCCAAAGCCTCCTGTCAGTCTGGTCGTTCCTGCTAACGTGTCCTGGGAATGTTGACTTGTCCTGGGAATGCTGGCAGGTCTCAGTGAGCACCATGGGAGTCTGGACTCCTCAGAGTGGCCATCAAGTATTGCTAAAGAAAGAGTAAGAGAGGCAGCAACTCTCTGAAGGTCACAGCAGGTAAGTTCAAACCCATTACAGAGCTCCTCCTCTTGGCTCCAGTCTGATGCTTTACCTGCCAGATCATTCTGAAAACCTTCAGGAACAAATGTTCTTGTGAGCATTAGGGGGAAATAAAGTGGTGCCAGTTGATTGGAATAGTTTGATAGCCAGGTGCTGAGCAGTAATTATCCTTCTTTTGGTCCAGTACTGGTCACTGAGTGTTTGTACCAAGGTCATCCTGAATCCTGCAGCATCCTGGACCTGGGAGCAGTGGGAAAGAAGTGTTTTGGGGTTGTCCTGCATCACTTTCTAGCTCTTTAATCAAAAATACACACAAATATATCAAGGGGTTTCATGTTTTATTGGTTTCTTCCTCTCCCTGTCCCACCAGCAGAATGTTAACTGCAGCTTTGCTTTTTTTGTTGAGTTTAATTTCAGGCTTTTTGCAGAAAAGGGCCCTCAGTCAGTGTGTCCCTGATGAGATGCACAATTTGTGCAGTCAGGATTTACACAAGGAACCTCACTGATGGTGTTCTGTTCCTCAGACAGGACATCCTGTATTTCCACAGCCCCTCAGCACTGCAAAGCCTCTTGGACCTCTGGAGTTGGGTTGTGACTGGGAGGGGGGAAAAAAAGCAGGATGGATGTGAATTCTGCAGTCACACTGAAGGAGCAGAGTGCTGTAGTGTCCCCTGGAATATTTTATAGTGCTGCACTGCACTCCTGAAAGGTTCTCTTCAGGAATTCAAGCCATTAAACAAGTAAAACTGAAACAAAAGCTTCCTGCAAAGTCAAACGTGCCAGGCTGGGGAAAAAAAAAACCAAACAGGTGGGTACGAGGAGAACAGGATGAAATCAGTTTGAATCAGTGTGGTGGGATGACTGGAGAGGTGCTATGGCCTCATAAAAGGTTACAACCATGTTAATTCTGCTGTGTCCTTTGGAGATGAAACATTTCTGCCTGTGGAGAGCAGGTGCTCAGGCTGCAGCAGGACACTGCTCATGAAAGCCCTCCTGGCCTGGGGCTGTAATTAGTGATTTCATCCCCTTTGTTCCCAGTGACAGACTCCTGCTCTGGCCAGGAAGGCTGCAGTGTGTGCCCCACTTTCTCCTTTTGGTTCTTAAGTTTCCCTTTGTTAATGAGGACTTTATCCTTCCTCTCTAGAGCAGTGAGAGGCAGGAGAAAAAGGGAAAAATAACCCTCCCTGATTGTTTCTTCTTGGCAAATGTGCTGTGAAGTCACTCCCTTCAGAACATGCAGAAGTGCTGCAAGAATAACAATTTTCTGTAATATTTCCCTGAAACTTAACTGTTGAGAATAACTTTGTACTGAAGGAAGGGTTTCCAATTACTGCTCTCCAGGAAGGCTGGCTTTGTTAGCAGCATAGAGATTTTATTTCAAGTTGACATTCTTTTATCTTGCTCTGGGAAAGGTGTCTGAGTGCCTAAGCCAGGCTGTGCCAGGAAAATACTCTGCAGGGAACATTCTTCTGACAGAGATATAGAGTGGGAAATGTGGCTTCTTGCCTCTGAAATCTGATTTTCTAGATGTTCTGCAGTGAGTCTGATGAGTAGGAGTGAGACCCAAACCCAGCTGCTGGTACAAATCTGTCCCCAAATTTCCCCTGCTGCTCCTCTACACAGAGAAGCTGTGGCTGCCCCATCCCTGGAAGTGTTCAAGGGATGGATAGAGCTTGGAGCATCCTGGGCTAGTGGAAGGTGTCCCTGCCTGTAGCAGGGGTGGAATGAGATGAGATTTGAGGTCCCTGCCAGCCCAAACCAGTCTGTGGTTCTGTGATAATCCCTCATGTCTCTTTGTACCACAAGCCTCTCCTGTACCACAGAAAGAACCAGAAGCTGCTTTGGGCACACCCAGCACTGCCTGATAGCTTTGATTTGAGGTCCCATCCCTGGAAATACCACCTGAGTGCCAGGAGGGAGGTAAGGAATGATCAGCCCTCGTGTCTTGTTGCTGCAGTGTCAGTGAGGGGCTGCTGCTCTCCATTCCTCCCAGTTAAAACTACTCACATATAGACACCTTCCTGGGATCAGACCAGGAGTCACACAGTTCAGTTTGCCTCTGGTCACATCCCTGCTCATCAGCAACGGGTTGGAGTTGATTTTTGCAGAGGTTCTTTTCAGGCATTATCTGTCTATTTGTAGAATTAATACTTGTCGCCTTTCCCGTGCCATTGAGAAGGTGTGTCACCTGTACAAGCTCCAGATGGACACATGACACGAACACCAGGACATGAGTGTCACCTGGATGGCTTAACATGCAGCCTGAGGTGCAATCAGGACACATATTTGTGCTGCTTGAAGCCAGAGTTCAATTTTGAAGGCACGTCTGTACTGACAGAGCTCGCTCCCCACTCGGCCCACACTGTCCAGTGAAGGTCTCTGTCTCCTCCTCACTGTGCCTGGTCAAGCAAGGAGTTGAAGAGCTCAGCACCCCTCTGGGAGGGGGACAGAGGGGAAATCAAAGCCCTCCCCAGGCAGGTTGACTCCCTCTACCCTGTGTAATGATGCTGGATATTTGTTTGGTCAGTTCAGAGCCAGGGTGGGTTTGATCCCCTGTGCCTTTGTTGCAGTTCAATCCAAAACTATGAGAGAAAGGGCTCGTAATGAACAGGAGGGATGAGGGGAGGGGTGGGCAGTGAGGGCAGGGGGGTCCCTGGCTGATCCCTCTGGGGGCTGTGGGCACAGGGCCAGGCAGTGCCCTGCTGGGACAGTCATTCAGCCCGTGTGACATGGCAGGGGAGCTGGCTCTGCCTGCCTTTGGGTCTTGGGGCATAAAAATCATCATTTTATAATGTTTAGAGGAGCATTTTGTGTGCTATTTACCTTTTTTTTTTAATTTTTGGTTAGTTTTAGAGAAGTTTTCACCTCTAGAGATCTTCCCTGATCTTTTCCCTTCCTCCCTTCCCAGGGGTGCGGCCCCACTTCGAGTCCTGCATCCAAAACTCCTGGATGCAGTTTTTGGTGTCCTCTGTAGGTCATTTCCTTCTCTCTGCCTGCATTAAACTTGCTCAATTTTCCTCTTTCCCTCTTATTTTCCTCCTCTGGAATCTCCCATTTATCAGACATCACTAGTTCTTGCATTAATAACGAGAGAGGCAAGCTCAGAACCCACTAATCCCAGCTGAGGTTTTGACTTCAAGGTACTGAAAGCCCTGTCAAGAACCCTCAAAATCAACGTTTTGGTGAAAAAAGTTCCCCCAGCTAATCCAAGCAAGGGGCAGAGTGTAATCTTTCTTTGAGGTTGAAAGGAGAAAGCGCTAATTTCATGCAGAAAAGATTGTATCTGGGACTGGCATAGGAACAGAAAATAAATTGGTATTAAATTACATTCGTCTGCCTCAAAATAATCTAATAAAGCATCTTCTGGATCAATAGCTGAATCATTATCCAAGGCACACAGTGAGCTTTCCCTCTTCTAATTTGAGATGCAAGAAAGAGGTTTTTGCATTACCATACTAAAAAGAAGAATACTTTAAGTCTTCATAGGAAAGAGGCAGAAGTAGGGGAAAAAAAGATGAGAACCACACTTTGTGCCTTAAGCAAGTGTCATTTCTCATTTGAAACTTGTAATTTAGGGGTATTGTGCAATAAATTTTTACATTTAATGACTGTCAATCTGTCAGCTTTGCTGAGCTGTTTGAGAAAAAAAAAAACAACCAGCAACTTAGAGCCTGCAAAAGGACTTTGTGTGCAGGAAGGGCAAGACAAGGCTTTCAATAACTTTGTTTTCCTAATTAGGGCTCACTAGGAAAAAAATAAATAGGGAAAAGATGGCACAGTTCTCCACTGAAAATGCAGTTTCATCAAAAGAAAATGAGATGTGCCAGTGCTGGCTGCAGTGAGCACAGTCCAAATGAGGCTGATGGAGAGAGAAACTGTGACTGGGTGCAGAGCGTGGCCAATAAAGCAGGAATCCCAGTCAGGGCTGTGTTATCAGCCTCCCAAACACTGCAAAAAGAGTTCACTTTATCAAAACATCTAGCAGATATAGAGGAGATATGGTCTTAGGGCAGGGAAAGCCAGACTAAAGTGTGTATGTCTTGTGTTTGAAGCAGTAGGACTTGCAGTAGGTAGCAAAGAGCAACCTCAGAAATGATGTTAAGGACATGATGGGGGGGGAGTTTATCCCTGAGGGCAGGAGGGGTCAGAAAAGTCTGGAAAAGCACTTCAAACAGCAGGTTTGGGGTTTTTTTTCTGGAATCAGGTTCCCTGTAATATATTCATTAATGCAGCATGTGGAACAGGGAGTACAAGGTATGTCCCAGGCACCAAGCTGGGAAGAGATACAAACAGTACAGAGGAACTGAATCCCAATTCCAAATGATCTTGAGGAATGGGAGAAATGATCTGAGACCAGCAGCATGAGGCTCCCTGCAGAGGAGTGTAACAGCAACCTGAGGATGGGGAAATCAAATACACCAGCCCCAAGCAATCCATTACCTGCTACAGCACTGCAGGAATTGGGAAAATGGGGGGAAACTCCCCCAGAGCCAGCAAATAACTTGGTAAAGTCAGGTTGGGGCAACCTGGGCTAGTGGAAGGTGTCCCTGCCCGTGGCTGGGGGTGGAATGAGATGGGCTTTCAGGTCCCTTCCCCCCCAAAGCAGTGTGGGATTGGAGCCTCAGCGAGTCTGGTGATCCCAGACTTCCAGAGGAGCAGGAGTTTTCTGCTTGTGCTGACCTGCCAAGACCCCACGGGGTTTGTGGGCACCTCACAGGTGATTATTGATGTTGCTTTCAACTTTATTGCCCCCCCAGGGTTTGGCCTGGGGCATTTTCCCGTGGAGAGCTGACAGTGCTCTTTGGAAGCACTTGGGTGATCCTTCCCTGCTGGAATCTTTGTGTGGGTGAGGAGAGGAGGAAACAAAGCCAAAGCTTTTGATGAGGAGCATTTGCAAAAGAGCCCAGAGCTTTTCGTGGGTGGGGAGTGGAGCTGGTGCCAGCAGCAGGGTTTATCTGATTTTTCTCAATACCTGGATGGTGTTACTGTGCCAGTTCCCAGTTCCCAGTGTCCCAAGATCCCATGTAAGCAGCTTTGGAGTCATTCCTGTGGCCTGTGCAGCCACGTGGTGAGATGAACACATCACTCAGCAATGCCTGGGGCAGGCAGGGCTGCAGAAACCCATCCCTCCAAGAGAAGGGTGGCCTTTGCTCCAGGAAGTGTCCACAGGCACTGCAAGAAGCTGCTTTTTTTTAATTTTTTTCAACCATTCATTAAAACTAACAGTCCTCAAGACGCTGGATTCGCTCTGTTCCAACCCTCCATGGATCCTCCAGCTTTTTGTGAGCTCTGAAACCACAATTCCCATGCCAAGGAGCCTCCTTTTCGTGGTTTTTCTCAGCATTGTCTCTTTGCATGGAAGAAAAAACTTCTCCCTCACGTGAAGCTGCTTTTCTCCTGGAGCTGCTGGAGAGGAAACTTGCTCCCTATCAGCCCAGCCTCCTGGTATGAGGAGGGCTGCAATTCCTGCCCTGCGTGTTATCCCTGTTCCTCTGGGCTTTGACGTGACCTTTTGCCAAATGTGAGTGACCTGTGGTCAGCCCTGAGATCTTCATTTGCCTCTTCTGGTGTCTCCAGCCCTGTCAGGGGTGTTTGGCTTTGATATTCCCACAGCAGCTAATCTGATGCAACTGTGGGATTTGTGCTTTGTTAGTTCTGCCTGGCTGATCGAGGAGGAGGAGGAGAGGAGTCTTCTGTGACACTGCACAGGCTTCAGGGTCCAGCTCCAGCTCTGGCCCCCCACCCTGCCAAAGGTGAGGATAATTCCTGGAGGGGAGAGGGTGTTTCTGCTCCCATGGCTGTGCCTTCAGCGTGGAAACACTTTTGAGGAACCACAGAGGGTTAAAACCACATGTTTGAAAGCAGCCCGGGGGAACAGTCACATGCACAAGGGAGATTTTGCAAGTTGGTGCTTGCAGCTCGGGGTGAGGAGAGGGAGGCAGGGGCACAGGCTGAGCTGTGCCTGGTTAGTCTGTGAGCCAGGGAGACACAGGCAAGAGAGGGAACTTTCCCAGCACAGGCTGGGGCTGCAGGACCAGAGACTTCCTGCTTGGTGGTGGCACCTGGGCAGTGCAGAGTGGGACAATGGCACAGAAAGGCCAGGCAGGAGGAGGAGGAGGGGACTGAGCTGCCTTCCCAGGACCAGGAGCGAGCTGGACCAGGTAAGGCTCTGCTGGCAGCTCAGGAAATGAAGCAGGACTGGCTGAATGTTTCTCTGCTGTTTAGTGAGGGCTTGGAGGTGCCTGAAAAAGAGGGTCCACAGCCTGAAGGAGGCAAAGTCACCACAGAGACGTTGGCATTGCATAAAAAATAGGAAGAGATGTTGAGAGACAGAGCCTGGGAGTGCAGGAGATGAGAGGCTGCTCCTCCAGCTGGCACAGGAGGCACCAGAGGAAGATTTGGGGGGGACAGGGGGGCCCCACCTCCAAAATGGGCAGTTCTGCAGTAAAAGGCAGCAGAGCCACATGAGGTCTGTGCTGCACAAAGAGGCAAAAGCAGAGCTGCTCTGGGCACGGAGCTGGTCCTGGCTGGGGAAGGCTATTCCTTCCTGCAGCTCCCTGATGGGTGGGAATGGCTGAGCTGCCCTGGCCTGCTGCACCTTCACTGTCACCTCCTGGGGACTGTCCTCCAGAGACCCCAAATTCTCTAAGACATCTAAGCCACAGAGCCTTGATTCACCTCTAACTTACTGTGCCAGCAGCAGCAACAGGTTGTTTGATTTTAAGTAGGTTTTTTTTTAGTTTCTAATTAGATTTTCCTTTAGTTTCCTCTGTTCTTTCACTCTTTGCTGCTGTTTTCTCTGGGCTTTTCTGTCTTGATTTTTGTTTTCCCCTCTTGTTTGATTCTAACCTGAAAGGATCGATGGCAAAAGGGGGGAAGGAGGGAGAAAATTCACCGTCTCAACCACCTTTTGGTGCTGGTTGATGTGCTCTGTAACAACGTGGCTGCCCGTGATGCTGGTGGGAGGGCTGTGCTCAGAATTTCGGGGAATTGCTCCTCACCTGAAGAGCAGGTGCTGTGCCCACCCTGTGCACACACACACTGCCCACCTCCTGGGCAACATTTATCGTGGTTTGTCCCCTTTAAGGGTGAGTTTCCAGCCCTCTGAGGGGTTTTTCCCGCCAGCAGAACCTCTCCTGTTGTTTCTCTTGCCTCCTTTCTTGCCAGGGACTATCCTGGCTGTGTGCAAGGGGGGGAATTGCAGCAACAACCCCCAGCCAGAGAGAAAACAACCCTCTTTGGAAGGAGGGTGGGTGAAATCCTTGAGGGACCCTCACACCAGGGGACAGCAACAGGCAGAGGTTAAAAAGAGGGTGATGTTTTTGGAGAGCTGGTGCGGATGTAGCCGAGCCACGTGAGGGGGAAGATCATTGAAAAAGTAAACTTCAGAGTCTTCCAAGCTTTAATAGCCACCCACAAGTCTTGGCAGTGGGTTAGAGGCTTACATCAGCAGGCAAACCCGTGGGCACAGTGCCTGCTGTGAGAACTCCCCCTGGCACTGAGGGGAGAGGAGAGCAGAGCAGAGACCCTCAAAGGCTTTGCTGCTCCGGGTGAGAGCTCCTGCTTGGCTCTGCCTTCAGCAGAGGCATTTTTTCTGCCTGATCTGCGCTGCTCCAGCCGTGAGGAGGGGATTTATACCCGGCACGGTGAGCGGGGTGTGGCGCTTCCAAGGAGGGGCTTTTCCACCGGCTCTCCAGAGCAAAGAGCCCTCTGGCTTCACAGGGACAAATCCTGCCTGTTCTTGGCCAATTGCTTACAAAATACGAATGCTTAAGGATGTCAGGATAATTTAAGGAATATTTAAGGACAACCTTTCCAGCTGTTAACGAAAAAACAAAAGGTAATTGCAGCAGGAGGCGAGTCTGTGCTTACTGTGCTCGGGGCTGCCCAGCACCTGCCAAGTGCAGGGTCCAAGGAGCAAAGTCACTGATGTTATCCCTTATTTGCTGTCTCTGCAAGATTTAGGATTTTCTTTTTCTCTTTTCAGGGCTAAAAGAAAAATGCCTCCTGGCTCGTGGAAAGCAGGATCTCGAGGCAGGCAGCAGTGGGAGTGTGAGTGAGGGTTTCACAGTCTGCTCCCCAGCCGGCTGCCGGGGGAGCTGAGCTGGTGCTTCTCAGCAGGGAGAGAGATAAATGCTGAATTTCTCACACCACAACAGAGAATCCCTCAGGGAGAGGCACCTCCAGCATGGCCCAGAAAAGCCAAACTGGCGGGACTGGGAAAAATGGGTCCTCCCTCCTCTACTGTAAGAGTGATTTAAAGGAAGAATCCCTGCAGTGGGTGACAGGTGAGTGGTTTGTTGATAAGGAGAGAGGCAGATCTGAGCACGAGGCCCTTAAAATAACCACAGACAAACTTTTTTTAAAAGATGCTCTTTAACAGCATCTCATTTTCCAAAGTGACTGAACAGTGTGGATGTTTCAGCATTTTGGGAAGGGGATGGAGACACTGACTTTTTAGGAATACCTGATATATAGGAATGAATTGACATCAACCTATTGAAAATCAAGACCCTGGAAGTCCTTTTCTCCTGGCCTTCCAAGACAAATTTGGGAAACTTGACTTGTAGTGTGGGCAGCAGGGCAGGGGGGATTCTGCCCCTCTGCCCCCTCAGGTGAGACCCCCCTGCAGAGCTGCTCCAGCCCTGGGGAACAGCACAGAGAGGACATGGAGCTGCTGGAGAGAGTCCAAAGGAGGCCCCAAGAGGATCAGAGGGATGGAGCAGCTCTGCTGGGAGGAAAGGCTGGGAGAG